GCAACCATGATAAACACTTGAAGCGGAAACAATATGATCATCTAAAATGGAATCCTCCAAGGGACAATCCAATGCCCCAATAGCAACATGAAAACCTCTACTAAAATAAGATGATATAAATGATCAACTCGCCCTCGAAAAAGCCACTGAGTTTACTAGAAACGTACCCATGACAACGCCAGGCGATGCCCTGGCCTCCAAGCATATAACTGCAGCTCAGCCAAGATTTGGTACTATGTGTTCTCCATGAATTGCCTAATCTCCGTCTTAAGCATACTCAAGTACCAAGATATATACACCTACTTAGGGCAAAACAAGGTCCTCTCGGTGAACATATTTATGATCTTAGTCACCAAATCTGTCGTCTGCTTGAGCGACAGATACTCTTGGGCCAACTAATCCCTCTCCACGTGTGGTACATACTTAGATCTAAAGATCTTAACAAACTACTCCCATGACATCGTGCTCTGCTCAGTAGGTGAAAGTGCCTTAGAGGCCAAGTTTCACCAGTCTTTCGCTCCCCGGCGAAGAAGGTTCTTCGCGAACCTAAACTTCTAGCTATATGGACAAGCACATGTGTAAAAACAACTCACTACATCAGAGATCCATCTCACAGCAACTATTGGGTCCTTGACACCATAAGAATACGGAGGGGAGGGGGGGCTTCGTGTTGTTTAACTTACAATATGACATCAATATACCACCTATTGGTCCTACAGTTGCAACAACGGCAGCGGCTACGGCAACAGTGATATCATTAACAGCGGCATAGCGCTCATCAAACATCGTATTCATTGGGTCTTAATGGACCCAAACAACTCCAAAATCGTATCCCTAATTATCGTAGACACCTCAATGACAATCATCCCACGAATCTCCTCATCACTCGGACCCAGGTATCTCTTGGCCGCTAGTACCCAAACCTGAACCTCTGGTCATCACCATATTGAAAATATACAAAATAATGGGTCAAAATCATTTCATATTTCTCTCACATACTATACACTCACTTACTATTTCCTTAGTAGCCTTGGATTGTTTCTGATCCTCGTACGGGTCATGTGCTTCCAGTAGTATGGAGCCATACTATCTTCCACACTTATCTGTATTTGCCGTAGAAATTATCCCAAAATCCCAAGTCACTAGAGTAGGCCATTATATTAACACACACTTATACGCTCTGAATAGCTAGCACTAAACTTCCTAGATACTTGTCCTAGGATTCTCCTCAGGTGATCCTTAGCCTATCATCTAACATGTATTTCTAACAGTTCACATATCAGCAAATATATGAAAAGTATGGATATTTTAGGAGATCACTTTCCTTGTGCTTTGACTGACTGTACAGATCGCATCTTCTTTTCCATTTCCAAGTCCATTCTTTTTCAAAAAGTTTTGTAAAACAATTTCAGATCCTTAGTTTGAGTTTGGAATCTCACGATTGTTCATCCAAATCCCTCAAACCATGGCTCTGATACCAACTTGTAACGTCCCAATTTTTAGAATAAATTATACATTTTTTTAAAATAAGATAAAAGTCATTTTCATAAATCAACCATCCATAAAATCATTGTTTCAAACATAAACGCAAAAATAAATCAGAGTATCATATCATCGTGGAATCTCAAACATAAAAACTATTGATGGATGTGTACAATCATGTCTTCTCCTTCCCATGGTCTTCAGAATACCATAAATACTTAATCCACAACTGTAAGCCAAAGAAAAGTGAGTTCCCCAAAATATCACATACAACAATGATAATTATACATAACAGCAATGAGTTTGTATAACCTCGGGTCTGCATCAATCCACATCAATTGTTCTAGATTAACCTTAGGCCCGCATCAACCCATAGCAACAGGTCCTGGTTCTTAAAGTATGCAAACATACAATCAGCAACTAAGACCCTACTAGTCTAGTATACAACCATATCATAGTAACTATGACATAAGTAATGTAGTGGGAAAACTCACATGAAACTCAACCTGATATATCACCACTCAGCGAGTGACCAACATAGCTACATAACCTCCTACCTGCTAGAGGTCAGCCTCAGATCGTTACTCGGAATCCTAAGTTTAACTAAAAGTCAAACTGGTCAAAAGAAAACGGTCAAGGTCAACAGTCTGGCTAACTCATGACCGCATCGTGACAACTCAACGACAAAACAGACGCAACTGAAGCCCATCACCGCGTCGTGACCTAGCCCTCACTCTGTCATGGTGAGAGTCCAAAACAACTTAATGGATTAAGAACTTAACCTTTAATATCTGGAGCTCAAAATCTAAGATCTGATTCTTCTAATGGTCTTAATGGATAAAGTTTCCAACTTTATCCATTAGGACACCATAATAGGCCAAGTCTAAAACACTGAATCAAAAATTGTAAATATAAATGCATGATCTCAAGGTTAGTCCATGAAAGCACCTTTTCTTTATTTAACAAAGGTCCATAATTTATAAAATGCACCAAGACATTTTGGACTTCACTCAAACTCCAAGAAAATAAATATTTTAAACCAAAAACTCATAAAAGTGACATAATCTAGCTCTAATGAAATAATGGTCGAGTTAGAAGCTTTATACCTTTAAATGACCAGAAATGAGGTGAAGATGATGGATCTACATTGGAACAAAGTGTACAAGAAATAAGAAGGACCCCTTCTTCCTGCAACCTTCACAAGATGAAACTCAAACACTCAATAAACACAAATGGATGTTAGGGTTTAGGAGGAAGAGTTTCTCTGGGAATGGGGCTGCCAAATGAGGCAGCCCTAGAAGTTAAAGCCTTTAAATAAGGCCCAAAACCCGACAACTGGGCTTTAAAACTTCAGTCGCCACCGTGTTGTGGTGAGGACCCAACCACATCGTCACTTAATGACGTGTATCGCACCGTGGTCCAGTCCTTACCACGCCATGGTATGAGAAATTTCCCAAATTCACAACTTAAAATACATAACACTTGAACCTGGAATACGGATGTTACAGCTGACTTTCTGAGATATATATATATATATATATATATATATATATATATATATATATATATATATATATATATATATATATACACATAGAGAGAGAGAGAGAGAGAGAAAAAAGAGAGAGAGAGAGAGAGAGAGAGAGAGATGTGGGACTTAATTGGGTTTTTTATTTTATTTTATTTTTTTAATACTTTTAATTAAAATTAATTATAAAAATAAATAGAAATTGTATTAAAATCTTTTTATGTGGGTGGGGGATCAACCACGATAGAAATTGAAAACCACAGAGACCTCCTATAGGGTTTTTTAAACGTATGGACTCTATCCCAAATTTCGGAAAACCACTAGGATCATTTATGAGGTTTTCTCTTAATATTATTAAATAAATACATATATAAATACATTTTAAATAAAGACTTATACATATAAAAACATATATATACATATAATTATAATAAATACATATGAAAAATGTATTTATATATTTATATACCTTAAAAAAAATATTTCTAAAGTCCTTTTTCATTTAAACTTATTTATATGTGACATGTATAAATATGTTTAAATGAAAAAATAACTTTAAAAACGTTTTTTAAGGCATCAAAGTATATAAATATGTTTTTCATATGTATTATATATATATATATATATATATATATATATATATATATATATATATATATATATATGTGTGTGTGTGTGTGTTTTTATTTAATAATATTAATAATAATGAATTTAAAAAATAATATATTTATTTGTGTTTCAATAAAATAATAATTATTATTATAATAATTATAATAAGGGTTTTTACAAAGATGTCTCAATATTATGGGCTTGGTATACGAAATAAACTCAAATTAATTTGCTATGTTTGTAATCTAGAGAAAAGTAACAATTTGCCGGTTTTTTGGACTTTTTTTATAAAAAAGAAATTAATTTATGAGTATTTTGTAAACTGATCTAAAATATTGAGACTTTTCTATAAAAAAAACCACATATTTTAAATGAGTTAATCTACATTTAATTAATTTAGTTAATAGGTTGATTAGGAAATACTTATATGGTCAATGTGACAGCCCATTTATTTAACAAATTGCATTGAGTTGGATTAAAAATATCATACCCTTTAAATAAACAAATTAGATTGTGTTGAAATCTTCAATCCAACCCAACTTAATTATTTAAATAGGGATATTTTCGGTCGGACTTGTTATGACATCTTAATGAATTTTCCAACCAACTTTTTAAATAAATGAGTTAAACTTTTGGGTAAGGGTTTATCTTTGTGCCTTTGTGGTTTATTTTCATTTCTAATCCGAGTTGGGTAAGGGTTCATCTTTGTGTCTTTGTGGTTTATTTTATTTATGAACTTATTAAAAAGTGGCCCAAGTCATTGGACCACTATAACACAATCTTTTGTCCACGTTAAAACTAACGTACTTATTCGCTTGTTTATTGCTTGATTGGCCATTTGGCCCTTGTTGTTATTTGATTTCTATATATAGACTGGTCATTTGTTAATGCATATTTTTGTTGAAAAGGTCGCGTATCCTGTTAACATAAGTAAGAGAATTTAAATGGGCTTTCCACAATCTGAAAATGTTTGTTCTCTTTTGTTTTTGCATATTTAAGTAGAAAAGATTTTATATTAAAGTTGCATTTGTTACAAAAGACAGGAGTAAATGGGACAATCTTTGAGAGATTTGTATGGACATGAACTGACTGGACAAGTTTTTAGCGCTAGTTTCCATGATTAGGATGAGAAATTCATTCACGTGTTTTGCATAGACAAGAGATCGAGAAAGGGGTCCATACCTCACAGTTTTGGGTGTCCAATGAACACTAAACTTAATACAAAGCAAGTTGTCCAAGACAATATCAAACATGGCATAAATATACATAACTCGCCATAACCTTATCTAGCATAGATACCAGGCACATAGGAAACAAACAAGAATTGGAATACCATACATTAATAGCAACCATATACTACAACTTTATATAGAAATTATACAGCACAACATTGTCTTAAGTATAAGTATCTTAATATTCATATTTCCATATATTTACATATACAAGATGCACACAAAAAGCATCATAACGCTATTGCATGATCAAGTACTACACTTTCTTGATCATTGGATATGTGAACTTATTGTATTTTAAGACCAGAAACTTCCAAAACTTTATACATATTTCATTTCCTCATGAAAACAGCATGAGAAAACTAAGAATAGGGGATTTTGTATTCAACATGGGAAAATCAAGAAGAGTAAGAAGATCATAGAGAGTACCTCCTCCTCTTGTTTGGTAGTGTTGTTCTTGGGGAATATTCAGGTGAGATTGATCCCTTCTCCATAACAGATGTAAAAGCATCACGAATAGAACTAATTATATCTTCATCCGTGGTGCCATTGCTGGTTTTGGTAAAATCGAAAACCATTTTTACATGGTCTCCTAAAGTTGACAACTCTGCCCTCTCGATTTTGACTTTGAGGGAAGAAAGAGATCGTCTTACATCAGCTAGGAGCTCGGGGCGTTTCTTGCAACAGAAAGAAGTGTGAAAAACCAAACCTCCATTGTTGAGTTTTTCAACTTTGAGTTCATCGGTGTCTTCTGGCATGAGTAAACCTTTACTTGCATGTGTTGCATTTATTTTGAGTTGTTTTACTTGGCGGATAACTTCCGCGAGTAATGTGGCTTTGTCCATCTGTTCAAAATAACATAATCTTAGTTTGTTTGTTTCTACACGAACATATGCGTTGACTTCCAGTCAAACCGGTCAAAGAAAAGTTTTCTATGGCTGTTTTTCATTATGAGATGGGGAGGGCATATACGTCTTTTGTCACATGTGGGAGATCGAGAGTGAGGAACTATCCCTTTCTGTTTTTTACCTTTGCGGTTGGGACAAACAAATAAAAATTTTGTCCCGTTGTCATTAGTCCAATCTTAAAACTAATGCACAGTTAACGTGTCTTTTATCAATGCCAAATTAGGGTTTATGGTTTTATAATAACAAACGAGATGTATATAGTTTACCAAACACGTGGCGAAAATAAGATTCCACAACTCAGCAGTATCAAACACATCAGTTCACAAAGTAATAGATTTGACTTCAAAAGTCAAAGTCAATTTGTATCATTTCTTTGGCAATGGATGGAGCAATATTCCTAATATCATGTATTTGGTATATCAAAAAACGTGGAACTAATACAGATATTCATTTACCAAAAGAGAAGAGCTTACGTTGCTTCTTTGACTACTGAGCCTCCTTGAAATATATATTTATATCAAACTACGTTCAATAATCAAATAGTTAATGAAAGTGGACTAAATATTTTACTACAATAATTGCACATATACAACATGATTTCTTTGACGTGTAGATATTAATTATAGCCTGAAAAAAGCCACCTTTTCAATAACAACTGGCATGTAATAAATAATCCATATTAGTCATCAAAACCAATTTTCAAGAACAATATTTTACATATTATTACGAAAATTGAACCTCTTGATTAGATGTAGAGTTCAAGTAGTAAAAAGATAATTATTTGCTTTAGTACGTACTTAAATCATAAAGACAAATAGAAGAACTCCATGAACACAAATCCACACCAGTTTATTATTTCTAAAGATACTTTTAACTTGAAATCTTTGGAAAAATGAAATGAAACTGTAAGTTTCACAAGACGCAAAATATTAGTAGGAAAAACGTTACAAACAACTTCATAGAGTCTTGCTTACGTTTATATAAAGATAAATTTGGCCGCCATTAAAAGTTTAATCTGATGTGACAATGACACAATTGTAAGCAATAGAGGCAGTTAAAATGATGACAATAACATTAACAACTATAGATAAGTTTCAGCTAACAAATAGATATAAAATAGCAGCGTACTTGATTTAATTTGTTTTTGCATCATAGCATCCTACTTTGAGTTATTTCTATAAACATTGTGTTTTAAGGTCTTTCTTGTTAGGGTATTGTAATTTGAAAAATATACAAAAATACATTTCACCAAAATATTATACTTTAAAAACACTATTTAGTAAAAATTGCCTTTGTATCAAGATGATATTGCAATAATTTGGTAGATTCTTTAAAGTTTCTATTTCTAAAAATGGATGCATTTTAGCTTATAACAAAAGTATTATCTATTTTTCCAAAATTAGCAATACGCCTTCCCAAAAATAGAAATGCTTCCCACGTTTAGCTTGGTGGCAAAAAGAGTCATTGCATCCAAATTTAGAAAGAAAAAAAAACCTACTTTGACCTTGAAAGATCGACATGTATCTCGATCAATGAGGAACAATATACAATAAAACCAAATCGAAAAGCACATAAATTATAGCAGAAACATCCACTTGCACATGAAGATTCACAAATTCATGATCAAAACTACAATGGAGGAAAGGGCATAGACAAAAACCTTATCATTGGAGGGTACAAGACCTCGAAGGGTGTCAAGATGAGCATTAATCCTCTCCCTTCTCCTCCTCTCAGCATCACTGTGACTCTTTAAAGCAGCCAAAGACTTCTCCTCAGAAATTAATCCTATTTTCTTTCCAATCACTTTTGGCTGAGCTTTCACAAGCTCTCCTTTTTCCTCATCCAACACCAAAGATTGAGAAGATTTAGAGAACAACCCATCAACATTCTCAAAATCCCCATTGAACCCACTTAAGTTCCCCAAGAATCTATCATCCACAATGGGTTCCAAGTTGGAAAATATATGATTCGGACTATAAAAATCCATTTTTGCAAATACCCTTTACAGCTATATGTATATATTTTGTTTTGCAATAGAGCGAGACACGAATATGTTATAACTATTTGTGCTTGTGTGTGTGTGTGTGTAATTATGATTATGAGCAATAAAGAGAAACTAAGGGCAACAAAGATGACGATCGTCTAAGGGTCGACACCTGGAGGACGGATGGTGGGTGCAAACCAGAAAGAAACCATACGGAGAGGAAATCTGATGAGTTTAACTACCGAGAGAGATGTAGATGATTGTGTGTTCATATTTTCGTCCATTAGAAGGTAAAAGACAAGAGGGTTTGGTTATAGAGAAAAGATTTTATTGAGAGAACATCCACATTTTCTTCTTGATGGTCTTGAATCTGAGCATTTCGATGTGTTGAATTGAATATCAGTTGGGGAAATCGATGATGAATTTAGTAAGAGTGGATGGTGTATCGAAGAATCTGGGAATTGGAGGACGTGTTTTTGGGAAAGCCGGAAAGAGACAAATAGGACAGATGGGTTTGAAAAGATTTGTTCAGGAAAGTTGGAGGTGAGGCATTCAGCTCTTTTCCGTCTTCGACTTATATAATGTAGGAGAAGCCAAATGAAGACGGTCCTACATACACCTAAGCAGTTGCCGACGCACAACAATAACAAGTCAAAACCCGACCTAGTTGGTAACTGAAACGGATATTTTAAGTGTTAACATGTCAAAAGATACAATGCCAAAGCTAAAAATAGCATTAGTAAAATCATTTTATTAATTATTAAATATTTTTTTTTTTCAAATTAATAACATTTTATTTATTTTAAAGTTGATAAACAATAAATTTTATCAAATAAACATTTATTATTTATTCAGAATCTTATAATGCTATTAGTGTGTGACTTGATAATCTTGTACATAATCAACAGTAAAGTTTAATGTGTTTATTCTTTGCACACAAATACACAATTCATCTGAATGTATAGTGCTAAGCATCCAGCGACACATCAATGTCCCAAGTCATGTGTGAGCTTTTTTGTGTCCGTAATCCTCCATCAAAATGTAATAGGAATATATTAAGTCGCTTTGTTACTCCATAGGTTTTCTCGAGTTAGACAAGAAATATATATATATATATATATATATATATATATATATATATATATATATATATATATATATATATATGTGTATGTATGTATGTATGTATGTATGTATGTATGTGTGTGTTAACTTGTAACATAATAATGCTAGATGATAAAATATTGTTATGCAATATTAGAACATACTAAAACAAATTTTCTAAATATCTAAAATATTGCATTAATTATCAATCAAAAGCTATTAGTACTAAGAATTCAAGCGTTTGATATATGACTCACATGTTTTGCTACATGCGTTAGCTTAGTAAACGAATATATAAGGTTCTGATCGATGTGAACTTTTATGATTGCAGCCTTTTCAGGCTGAGTAACCTCGAATGTAGTGATACATTTGTTCAATATGTTAGGACTTCTTGATCACTCTCCTACCTTTTCTATCAGTATATATCTAGTGTTATCGCAATGAACTTCCTCATCCATACCATTGTTGGAAAAGTTGTTAATGGCGAGTTATGCTAACAAAGAACACACTTATTGATGAACCCCTTTTATCTCTTAGTGGTGTAGGGCAGTAGTATCCCATTCAGATCACCCATCGATAGATTGATATGGATCACAAATATGTGTCCACATACCTTGATGTATCTCATGAAGAATTTCAATTACTTCTTATAGTGTGACATATCGTACTCATGGCTCCAAATACCCCTTTCTAATTTTAGAAAAGTTATCTGTCTTATATCATTTTCACAGTTTAAGTATTTTTTTCCTTGCTTTTTGCCTATTTTCCAAGACTTTTCCTATATGTAGATACCTTGTAATCAGGGTTATCAATGTTGGTTATGTGTCTGTTATTGTGAGGCTTTCATTTTCTTTAATATTTTTCCTACAACACTTCAAGCGATATCCTTTTTTAAGGTGGACAAGTGTCATTGATGCTTAAGGCGTCAACCTTTTTATTTTGTATATAGTTGTTGGACGTTAAAGTTATCTAATTCTTAGATCAATTGTTTTTATGTAGTTTTTCTTCATTTACTTCTTCTCTTGCATTGTATGACTCGTTGATTTGGTTAGTAACTAGAACCCATTTAGTATATTCTAAAAATATGATTTACATTCAACTTCTTTGATATCTTATATCCAACTACTAAAACCTAGTATTATTCCTCGCTATTAGATTTTGGAAATTGAGAGTGTATAAAGTAAGTCTATTCCTATCCTTTAAGGATGCTTAGGACACATCTTTCCCCTGATCCCTATGATCTTGAGACCCTCTCTATGTAGAGTAATTTTTGGTCTTGTTGGTGTCACTTATTGTTGGTACTTTGAATTTATTAACAAGTCAGCCAAGGCCTATGCATTGATGCTTGTTCTTGGTTTGTAAATGATATCATATTCCCTTAACTCTATAACCCATTTTTTTAGGTGTCTTGATTTTTTATTTTCAGCAATATATTTTTTATATGTTGGGTATTTTTTTATGCATATGTCATGACCCTAGAAGTACCTAAGTAACCTTTTCATAGTGTAAACCAAGTTTAAAATCAACTTTTCAAGTATAGGATAATTGATCTTTGTGTCGTGTAAGGCCTGGATAATGAAGCATGTTGGCAATTGGTTATGTTCTTTTTCTTTGATAAATACTCCACTAGTTTCTCCTTTAGCTTCTTACAAGTATACCAAAAGCAGTTATCCTGATATCATGTTAGTCATCATAGGCTCTTCCATGAGTTTCTCTTTTAGTTGTTGGAACATGTGCTAAAATTATAAGGTCTAATGAAAGTCTTTCTTGTATCTTTTTGGTGTGTTAAAGACTAAAAACACATAATTTGAGTTACACGGACTGTATAATCTGTTAGGAAAATATAACACTTTTAATCTGCACAAAAGAACAAACAGTTAATTGTCGTTGAGGCATGTGTTTAACACAATGTCCTTACAACAAATTCGTCTTATATGGTTGTTTGTTTCTAGAAGAAAAAGCAAAAACATAAGAGAGAAAGAGAAGACTGATTCATTTGGTGTGATTTAATTAGTCACGGAGATGTAATATTTATATTGTAAAAACGTAACAGGTGTTATTAAAAATCAAATTTTGTAAGGGGGCGTTTGATAGTTGTTGACTGGGTTAGAGTTGGGTTAGAAGTTCTGATTGAGTCTATATCTGACTGAGTTAATGTTGTTTGATTATTTTTCTGCCTGACTGTGATGAATGATAAAAAATGACCATAATACCCTTATGATGAAAAATAACCACAAATACATACACATACACACATAGAAACAACTATATAAACACATACACACAAATTTAAAAGATATATACAATGACAATAAATTTTAGTAATTATAATTAAAACCCACCAAAATACTAGATATCACAACTAAAAAGATAAATACATTTAACCTGAATCAGATAAATATGCACTCATGTAAACAACAAATATTTCTTCTACCCAAAAGTTGCAAAAATACAAGAATTTATAAAGATTTACACACAAAATTCTACTGATTCTTCTTTAGTTTAGAAGTTGTGAATGTGGTCTTCTTACGATCTTGGCTGGTAGTTCTTATCATAAAAAAATGTTTCTACAACCATCCCCACCACCAATCCAAGTATCCCTCCAGCAGCATGCTGCAAAATCAACAAAGGTATCATCATTACACAAATATACACACATATACACAAAAATCAAATGTAAATTAAATAACAACAACAAAACAGAATCACAATAAAAGTTTTTATGTAATTTAACAACAATTCGAGTTCGCACCATTAACAACAATTCAAAAGCTTGTTATAATAGGAGCAACATCAGCAAATCCAGACAATAGAAGCAACAATAATAAAAAATGCAATGACAGCAACAATCAAGAAACATGTGAAGAAAAAATTTCAATAATTGAAAAACAGTGCAGAAGTTGAGGAAATCGCACTTGTTGGAAGACTGGTAAAGTGGTAATGCAATTCTACACTAATCAAAGTTCAACACACACGAGAATGAGGAAAAATAAAAGATCGCAAGTGAATTCTTCAAAACTGAAATACTAATTCCAGAAAAGAATCAAGAAAATCCAACAAACCTTAATCACGAAGTTGGTCGATGCAGTTGAAGATGAAACAAATGCAAGAAAATCAACGACTGTAAAACAAGAGATAACGCTTATATATTCTTTCCAATCGATAATCAAAACCCTAGAATAATACAGTTGATCACTAACAAGGGAAAATTGAAATAGAACCTAATCGAATCATACTTGGATGGAACTGTTCAGTGGCGCAAGAAGGTGGGAAAAAGAAAGGGTTTTCCTATCGCTGGAAGGAGGCCGGATCTCAGGCGAAGTGGCGTCTGACGGAGGCGGCCGAAGGCGTATGTTGGAGGTGAGAGAAGCCGGAGCACATGTCGGTGGTGGGTCGATAGAGAAGAAGCATCGTTGGAGGTGTGATGATTGAGGGAGACGAGGAATCGTCCGTGTAAACCAGGGGCAATCAAGGAAAATGACCCGGTCAATTAATTTTTTTTCAGGACTCGGTAAGTGATGGGTAAGAGATTGGCTGACCAAGTAAGTGGCTTATTGCTGTTATCAAACGCATTGACCGGACCGGGTTAGTCAAAAAGCTCTGACCGGACCGGGTCAGTAGTAAATCAAACAACCCTATATTCGTACCCACATGACGCACGCTCGTACATAATTTCAGTGAAGCCAAGCGAAATTGGCTCGTATTTGCAACCCTTTGCATGTGCATACAAGAGAGAACATTGGTTCTATAAGACTCACAAGGATAAGAAACCCTTGTAGTTATATACTTATTTCTTTTTCTTTCTCCCACCTATGTTGGATGGAACAAAACTCAATTAACTCATTTGTTAATCTCTTTCAACTACCTCACTTTGACAAGTAATTTCGCATTCATTTTTAATCTGTTTTGGATGTGTGATAATGTATCACGGAGGAGAACATGAACATATAATTTGTCCATTTTGATTACATTAAGAGTTCTAAATATGTGCTCAAAAATAGGGAAAACTCATTTTTGGAAATTGGTGAACCTAATTTTCCAACATAATCCATTACACGGACCGTGTTTTGAAGAAGAAATTATGAGCATCACACGCATGAAAGCTAACCACAATCAAGTTACATCGACCATTTAAACATTACACAAAACGTGTTTTTGGTACATTTTCTCATTATAGCATCATACTTAATCAAACCGACTCGAGACACGCTTTTGACATTCCATGGAACGTGTCACCATAAAATAGATTGTGTTTTCACTCCAAGTAAATAAAACCCTTAGCCTTCATGTTTTCACCCTAACTAGATCTCCTAGTTGTTCAGTAGGGACTCGGAGGAGATTTTACAAAACCGCATGTATGGTAATTATTGTCTAGCTTCATGTTATCTTTTTAATAAATTCAGTTTATATATATATATATATATATATATATATATATATATATATATATATATATATATAATACATGAGTAAAAAAAATTGTTTGACTAACGTAAACAAATGAAAAAGCATCGTTATTTTATAACACCGGCGAACACCATTGATTAATCAACCATTTTTGTCAACAAAATGTTTTACATTTAATATTCAAAAATATTTCAGTGAATTGACCAACTATAATACTATATCATCGTTCTTTGCAAGGTTGATAATTCATTAATACTACTTCAATTGTTTTAAAAAGTAAACGTTTATTTAATTATGTCATCATCATCATATTTATTAATTATTGAAATATTTAGATCTAAACCAATGCCAAAAGATTAAGTTTATTGAGGGCAACGTTCCAAATTACCTTTACATCTCAACCGCCGTGTGTTGACATTGAGACTAAAAACAATTATATATTTATGAACCCCTAATCCAACATTTCTTCACATAATTTATTAAGTGGACTTTTTTAAAGTGAAAAAAAAAACCTTTTCATGCTGTTTATTTGTCTCTTTTAATAACCAAAATATAAAATAGATCAATGTTTTTTTTTTTTTTTTGAAACGGCAAATAATTATATATTTTTTCATCTCTTTGGGATTGAACCCAAGACTTTCTAGTTAGTTGTTAGTTTAAACCACCATGTTAACCAAGTGGGTTAGCCCCAACTTGTAAAATAGATCAATGTACTAGTAGTATATCTGCATCAAATTGCTGGTATATATGTACCAGTTGTATGGAATTCTTTTCGTGAGTTAAGAGTATTTTGTTAAACCTATATTGTACAATGGCTCCTTCAAGCTTTTGTAAAAGGTGGATGGATATGATGTAACATCCCAAAAATACCAAGAAATTTTTTTTATTAAGTCAAACCTACTCATTCATTATACCAAAAGATGATCAGAGTAAAGTATTCTCAAAATATCAAAGTAAAATCATAAATAATCCTTGCGGAATAATCTCCAGGGAATGCAGTGCAATCAAGCTGGACCCTTCCTTTTGAAATTAAAAGTACCTGAAAACATTTTAAACATAAACTGGAAGCACAAAGTTTAGTGAGTTCAAAATACCACATACCATATATATACAAATATAACAGCACGTGGCTGTGTCGGGTCCGTATCAACCCCGAGTCCATAATGACTCTATGTAACAACTTGTAGCTATGTCGGGTCCGTATCAACCCCGAGTCCATAGTGATTCTATATAACAGCTTGTAGTTGTGTTGGGTCCGTATTAACCCCCAGGTCCGTATCAACCCCCGGGTCCGTTTCACCCCACATACATAAACATACAAACATATAAGCATGAGTCACAAAGACAACAAGAACATACAGGCATATCAACAAGTGTCACAAAAACAACCATCATCCTACAAACATGATCCAGGGGGCGGCACTGGTGCCTTCGACCCACGAGTACATTGAAGTGACTCACATGAACTACTCAACAGAAGCTCACAACTACATCAGCAACAGATCAACCAACCCAAGCTTCCTAAAGTTAAACCGATACCAGACCTTATTCAAATACTCCATGCTACCCAAGGTTAACCAAAAGTCAAATGGTCAAGAATTCAACGGTCAAAGTCAATCCAGTTGACACCCGCATCGTGGCCAACCCATGTCCACGTCGTGGCTACGCAATTCAGTCCCGATCAAAATCTGCTACCACGCCGTTGTAGACATGCCACCACATCGTAGGCATGTCCAGACAAAATGAATGCGATAAGTCCCGCCACCATGTCGTGGCCTTCCTTGGTCACGCCGTACTCCTTAGTTTAAAAGCTTTTCTTAAAAAAAAGAGCTTAATTCATAACGACCAAAGCTAAAACATCATATCTGATTCCAAATGGCTTCATGATGGATAAATTTTCCAACTTTATCCATTAAGATGGTCCAAACCACCAAGATCTAGACTTTAAGTCTTAAAAGGACCCAAAAATGCATCTTTCTCAACTTAATCCATTAAGTCCAAGTCTCCTACCTACATATCTGAATCAACAAGATGTCTAGATGGATAAAGTTTCCAACTTTATCCATAATAATGACACAATCCTTCAAGAGCTAAACTTTATCGCACCAAAATGACCTAAAGGACCAAGATAACTTGCATGGCTAAAAAGGAAGGCAAAAGATCATAACTTTCCTAGTCCATGAGGTCCAAGAAACACTCCAAATTGATAAAAAGGTGTAGGAGTACACTCAACTCCAAGATCACTCATAAAATTGAGCAGAAGTGCCAAAAATCACATATGAAGAGATCTAAAGAACTAAAGAGCAAGATTGGAACTTTATACTTACAATAGTCCAGAAATGTTATGCCTTTGATGGATCTGTAACATACACATTTATAACCATGTATAATTATCGTGTTTTATAAGCTTGATGGCTTAAAAGTGAATATTATTGAATATTATATGATTTTGAGTGTTGAGTTCTAACAAGATAATTTTATGAGACTTGAAGTAAAATTATGTTTAGAATCATTCGAGAAGTCTTGGAAGTCTTATGAGATTCCATTCAAAAGTCAATTATCAAAATTAACAAAAATATAAAGTTGGAAATAAGTAAAAATAATGTTATTGAAAGTTGTAGATTATCTCGTTAGAAACATTTAGGCGAAAACCTCACTAAAATTCGAGTTATAATTAAGAAGTTATGACTTATTGAAGTTTCGCGACAGAACCGGCATGACGCTATATGATGTAAAAAGTGAGTTTACGATAAACTACTTTTTTAGCCTTTGTGATCTGAATGAAAGTCGTAGTATTCGTTAAACTGGGAACCTTTATAAAAAGAACGTCCAAATCTAACTTCGTATGACGAAGTTATGATTTTTCTAAGATTCGGCATAGTAGTACACAGCCCAAAACTCGAAATAAAGATCGAGTGATTTTTAGCCAACACAACCTAAACGAGGATCGAGGATCTCGTCAATAGTAGTACAACGGTAAAAAGACAGACGAAAAAGGACATCGGATGAAGAATTTATGAATTTTTAGCCGACCTTTCCTGTCCCGGCCTGTTAAAAATATAACTTTAAAAATAAAGTCAAAGTTAGCCGACGAAGTCTAAAAGAAATTTGTAGAGCATAACTTCACCTACGCGTGGATATAAATAACGTCAAAAATGGAGTTTGTATGCGAAAGTTACGAATTTTTGAAGTTTTGGGCACAAACTTCGAGGCTGGTCCGAAGGAGTACACCCAACGTACTCGTGTAGGGTGCTCCGTAGCCCGTCACCCTCCCTACTTCTTCGCATGACTGCCACGTGCCGTAGCCTTGATGCGTCCGAGTTGATCCACTTCGTACGCCCAGCGTACGAAGTTACGCCCAACGAAGAGGTCTGCGAGGTAGTACGCCCCGCATACCGGAGAATTACGCCCAACGTAATGCGAGCCCTCGGACTACTATAAATAGTAGGCGATACCTTCCGAATTTTGTTTACAATTTTAACACTTTCACACCCTCTTTCTTCTCTAAAATTACCCTAACACCCCCCAAAGCCTAGGAATCATCCCCGACACCCGAAGCAAGTCCCGACGCACTGAAGATCCGAGAAAATAATCTTTTCAAGTTGAAACTCTGCCCGCGCAAGGCCCGATTTTCAACAAAAATCCCCGGTTTCGTCAAAGAAAGTCGTTTTTAGAGACGAAGTGCTGCCCAAATCAGCATTTTATCATTTTGTTATTTCACGGTGAGTTTAATATAGGGACAATTGTATGTTATGTGTTATATATGCAATGTGCTTTCCCATACTATGATAATGGAGCTATACCTTTGACCATGAAGTGAATGATTAAGCATCACTTTTTTATTGGTATGTAGCCTTTGGCCATGTAGAGCATGTCTCGTATCACTTTGGTATTGGCTTTGTGCCTTTGGCCATGTAGAGAATGACTCGTATCACTTTGGTATTGGCAGAATGCTAGGTAGGGTTAAAAGTCTGTATATTCTAGCAAATTGATAATCAGAAATCGTTTATTTTCTATGTCATTTG